TCAATAACAAGATTTGTGGAGGGTGGGAGGGAGGTGCAGAAGGGTGGGTGAGGAAGGGGATGAAACCTCATGACCCGGTTACAGTTTATGAAAGCGTGGCAGTGTGTGTGTGTGTGTGTGTGTGTGTAGTCTTGCAGCAGGTAGGCATCTCTCCCTTGCCTTAGGGCACACGCTTAGGTGGGGCTTGCGAACATATTTCAGCTTTTGCACCCAATGTGCTACTTCAAGTCTCTTGCAGCAGCGAGGGCCAAATATATTAGCATACAGCCACACAATAAAAGGACTAATAATTTACTGCAGTCATGAGGGAACCACACACACACACACACACACACACACACACACACACACACACACACACACACACACATACACACCAACACACACACACACACACACACACACACACACACACACACACACACACACACACACACACACACACACACACACACACAACTGCAAAGTCAGCTCTCCAGTATGAAATTGCATGACAGCGAAAACTAGCTCTCTCCAGTTGACCCAATATTGTTGCTTTCAACTCCTCTCATTTGTCTACCTCTGCACAATTCCAGCTTCTTAATCCATGAGCAATTGCCTGAGGGGGTCCCATCACCTTAAAAATCAATTTTCTGTTCTCCCGCTCTCATTCTTTCACTCCTTTCCCAACCCATCCCCCTCTTCCAGGGGCTCTTAGAGGAAAACATTGAGATAACAGCTGCCAGGGCCCCAGGGAGAGCAATAGGAGGGAGAAAAGAGGTCAAACATTAAAGAGAGCAGGAATCCAAGGTACAGCGGAGCGAGAAGCACGCGCACAATCAACGATAGGCAGAAATGCACACACACAGATCCTGACTCACACCAAATGAAATGTAATGATATGAACGACACTTCACGCACCAGCTTTGCAGCCCACTGTGTGCTTCAGCTGCTGTGTGTTTGTGAAATGTGTGACACAGAAATTACAGTGAGGAGGTGTTGCGCTGAATAGAGGACATGCAGAAGAAAGATAGGAGGAGGAGAAAGAAAGAGAGAAAGAGTGAGTAAAAAGACAACTGTTTTCTGGGGACACCTGTCCCTTTCACTCACAGGGCTTGAGCGATGTGCAGAGACAGCTGCAGAGGCAATAAAGAAGAAAGACTTTTTACGTTGCTCACCCTCCCCCTTATTCCCTCACTGTTTCCACTCAGAAATATCTAAAGAGTTTACCGCAGAAACAGCATACTGCTACATCCAGCCGTACAGACTAACATGCTGTACTTTATGTATCTCCGGAGCATACATAATACATGGCAGAGCACAGTTTCTGGCAGTGGCAGCTCTAGATGTTCAGAGTGCGTGTGCTTCTAGCTCTGGGCAGGAGAACAGATGCCACAACAACAGCGTAGAATAACACGTCGCCACTCGTGCATTGCACCGTAGCAAATCATAATTGTAGAGATACGATCTCCAACGCTGTATCTCGCTGTCATCTACGCCTACTCCGCTAGTTTCTGTGTTTATGTCCCTCGTAGCAACTGGGTGCCGAACGAGAGTCTGAAATGCCCTGACCAGACCACTCTAGTGAAGCGGGTCAAGAAGAGTCCTCATCTGTTAGCAGTTAATTAACATTTCATGCTCAATGACAGCCCGCTCTGATGCCGTTCCATGCACAGTGGAGGCTCGGCAAAGAGATACAGCAGCAGACGCAGACGCACACACACGAAGAAAGGACGATAGGAAGAATATATGGAGATAAAGACTCACCGACAACACGGAAGGATAGTACAGTCCCATCATCGTATTCTGTGCAACAACTCAAACTGCTCCTCTCTCTCTCCTTTCCTCTTCTCACACTGCCTTGCTTTCCTCTCCCTCCCAGAGCCTGTGTCACCTCACCCGCTCAGTCTCTCTTGTCTGTCTCACAGATTCAAAATCTCCCTCTCTCTGCCCCCGCTCGCTCTGTCTGCCATGCCAACCCCCCTCCTCTTCCTCCTCCTCCTCCTGTGCTGGCCTCTGTCCCTGTCACTCTCCCTCGCTTGCTTTTACTTCTCCCTTTCTTCTCCTTTCCCCTCGTTATCTCTCTCTCTCTCTCTCGCTCGTTCGTTCGGTCTCCCACTCACTCTTTTCTTTCTCTCTCTCTCTCCCACTCGCTCCTTCCTTTCCCTCTATACCCTGCCTTGTGTTTTGCTGCTGTGCCCTTGCCTGCTCATCTCTTCTGTCTCTTCTCCAGCCCTTTCCTCTCCTCCTCCTCTTTCACCCAGATAGCCTGACGCCTCCCCCTCCCACTTCTCTGCCTCTGTCACACCTGCAAACTTTCCCCTCCCATTTGTTTCCCTCTCATGGCGCAGTTCCTCCCTCCCCCTCGCTCTCTCTCTTTCTTCTTCTGTTCTCTTTCTACATGTAGGTGAGTTAACTGGGGCTGCTGGCACCACTGGGAGAGGAAGAGAAGCCTCTCCTCTCTCTCTCTCTCCCCTTTTAGAGATGCTCGTTGTTACATAAATGTTCCCACAATTTACATGTTTGTTTCTTGTTTGAATAAGCGCCCAAGTAATTTTTCCGTAAAAGTCACGACTGCACTCTAAATAGATTAATACAGAAACGTTTCCATAACAAATTACAACACAGCTGAAGTCTGAATACAGTCACAGTAATAATGCAGCTTATAGTTGAAGTGAAGGCAGGTTTTTCTTGTATGCAAGACATTATGAGAAGGTCAACCTGGGACAACAGTTGTTTTTCTACCAAGTTGGGACATGCAGTCCCCCTCCTCCCTCTTCTTGATGCCCCATAGGTTTTTATATTTTGTCTTCTTATCTCTTGCCCTTTGCGGACCATTTCAAGTAGAAAGAAGTTGATCATCCTTAAAGAAGGACTAATCAATATTGTTTGCATTACCAAAGGGCTTTGTAAAGCTGGATCAATTCCTCAAACGGTGCATTTTAGCCTATTTCAGCTCATTGTTCTGGTTCGACAGCTTTACTCTTTTGTTTCACACTGACCACTTCCACCAATATGTTTCAAGCCGCACAAAACATCTGTTTTCAGCCAAAAAGCACAAAACCTGTACCCTACCTGGCCTGCAAAACCACGGATACACTAGGTTAGCGACTAGCTGGAGAACATAGGGTGGAAGAGGCTTCAAATGCATTTAGCAGCTAAAGAGCCAGATATCTTTCTCAGACATATTTAAATACGGGTATATCAACCACTGTGACTGGAATAACTGCCCAAGGCATGTTCCCCAACATAAATTCAACAAAAGAACGACGTGTGTATCAAAGCCAAACAAACTGTGGGACGAGAGGATGCATCATGTCCCATCCTTTTTAATAAAGCAGTCAACAATGTCCTCCAACAAGGTAATACGTTACTCATACAAAACAGCACGGCATCCAACAGATGCACGCATTTTTTCCTGTGTATCCCTTATGCATGGAAAGGCAATTTAAATCTTGCACGGGAAAGGCAGACTCACCGAGTAGCAATGAAAACCACAGCGAGAGCATATTAAATAATGAAAATAATTACATTTTATTACGAAATGTTGGATATAATGGAGTTTGATACAAGATTTAAATATACAGAGAAAGTAAACATGACTCCTTTTTGGATTTAGATTCTTCACTGTCAACCCACATGTCCTTCATTATTGTGATGTAGGGAAACAATTACTGGTAATTTTATTTTTGGAAATATCTGCTGATTCAATTAAAGCAATAATTGTTTATCATCATCACGGGGCCAAACATGACGACAAAAAAAAAATGGTTTAACTTAAAGTCTAAATGCCCAAACTAATTAGTTTACAAAGTTATATCAATTAGGAAATCCTCTTCTTTGAGAGTCTGGATTCAAATCATGAAATTGTTTCACTACTCAGCATAAAAAATGACTGATATTATCAAAATAGTTGCCAATATTGTTTCTTTTGCGAGGGTTTTCAATGGTAAAACAGGGTTTAACCTCTGTCAAGGCGATGAAAATGCTAGTCATCTTAATAATTGTATCTTAAAACAAAAGAAGCTAGATACGTTCTATATGTCATGTCTGAAAAGTGTTCGCCCCTCTCTGCACATATCAGGCTGCTGCTGCTCTCCAGGCTCTTCCTTTCAGGAGCCTTTGATCACATCATCCTCACACCGCTGTTGACAGTTTAGCACCTCTGCGTTGTGGGAGCCTCCAACGGCTCGCATTGTTTTTTTTTCCTCTGACTTTTTTCCCTAGCTAGAGGACAGTTCATACTTCCGAGTCCCTTAAGCAACTCCTGACTGACCTCTTTACATCCTAATGTGAGATTGCTCGCGCGCCGCAACACTACTTTGAATATTATTATTATTAGCAAGGAAACGGATCAAAGATGTATCATCTTCCATTGAAATGAAAACTGGCTAATTGGCTTCCAGGCTTCCGCTAAAACAGACTGCCAAGAAATCAATCTCTGAAACTGAAGCAAATAAGAGCGTACAAGCAAAGGCTTAAGACAGATAGAGTGCAGATAAGCAGCCAGAGGTTTTTTGGGTATCACAGAGAGCGAGGGATGAAGAGATTATGGGCAGAGCATGAGAGGATGAAGGGAGGATGATCTAAGGATTAACCACATAAACTGAACAGTCTAATAACACAATCAGTAGACTAATACAAACACTAGTAAACAGATTGTTGCCGTGCACACATACTTAATAGGCTTTCATATGGGTGTTAATTGGTATTAATTTGCGGAGTGAAAAACTAGAATATCTCTGGTTAAATGGCAAAAATTGAAAAGATAAAAAATGATTAATATCAGTACTTCTTGTTTGGAGTAGAAAGGAAAGTTGGACTAGGGGAGTAAAGGGTGTGGAGGAATGTCTTCTTCTACATGACTGATTAATTATAATCTACACCCCCCCCCCCTGACCTTTTGGCTTAGGGATCTTCATTGAGCCTTAATAATGTTTTATGAATGGTAAAGAATTATCAGAAAACTGGATGGAGGAATTTAAGAAAAACATGAAGTTTGAGATGAACTGCCTCCTTACCTGACTAAGAGATGGGTAGCCATGGTAGCCAAGGGTCAAAGGGTCGTTGTTCTGAAAGACAGGAGAGCAGATTTTTGGACACATGGTCAGTCATTTGCAAAGCAATAAATCCCTTTGAAGTAATTTTTTTCTATTATTAGTCAGGAATGCCATTTCATTCTCTCCCACACATCTTTATTCCTTCACACATTTTTATTTGACTTTACAGCGCTGTGGCGTGACTGACTCCTAATCAAATTAACTCGCCCGGTGACACACTCCTGCCATCTCCTCCAGAGTTTTCCACCCAGCGGAGCTTTTGTCTGCCTGCAAAGACGTGATAACGGGGGCGAGTGAGATCAGGCGAGCAGAAGATGAAAGACGAGCAGAAAGAAAGAGCTTTCACCACGGCTCTTAAATCATAAATAGGTCAGGAGTGTCGGCGAGCATGAAGCCCGTTGGTGTGAAACGGCATCATGAGCACTGACGCAATCCCCGACACATTCCTCTCAGTGTTCTGGCTGTGTAAAGCAAAGACGGACACATCTGACATCTGGTGAGTAATTATAGTTTAACATGGTACGTTACCCTAAAAAATCTATTTGTTTGGAAGCAAACATTTTACAGAAATCATGTCCCTATTACAGGAAGATAGTTGTAACTCTCTTTTATTGTACTCATAACACTGTGTTCTAGCTTTTATGCTAATATATTCCATTAAAAAAGGGAGCTTTACGCAGCAATTACAGCACACTTTGAAGGAGGAAAACAGATTTGCCTGTCTCTGGATTCATATCACTAGATTAGAAAACAACTCAGCTCCTCCCTCCTTTCTCTCTCCTCCCCCCCCCCTCATCTGCTCTATCCTCAGGGGGAACATTTGCTCTGCACACTTTAAAGCTTCAGTTCGCCTGATTAATACTGTAGCCATCCAACTTTGGACCCCATAGGGCCTTTTCGTTAAAGCAAAGAACAATGTTTCCAAATGTACCGGGCTTGGTCGGGGAGGGGAGGAGAAGGAAGTATCTTCCCGGTCGAAAAAAAGCAGTTTGTGTGAGTCTATCTCAGAGCCAAAAATGTACTTAGTGAACTGGCTTTGGAAGGCAGAAGCTCTAAATAATGTATTACCTCTTAGAGGCTTGAATAACATGAATAAAGTATTGTACAGTGAGTCCAAACTCTAAACACAACACACAGGAGGTATGGAGGAGGATGGAATCCAAACCAAAAAAATTAGAGACAAAAAGAGGCTTATGGGGCAGTAAGCTACACCGAGGTAGAGGGGCAACACATCTGGAAATCATACTCCGAGAGGCTGAATGAGGAACCAGAGATGGAAATACAATGGGAAATGGACAGCAAAGGGGGAAAAGAGACAGAGGGAGCAAAGACAATGACTCATACATGAGCGGAGTCATGTGCTTGATTTCCTCAAGGAACTGGGAGGAATGAGAGAGGGAGGGCTGCTCAAGTCGAGTGTGTCTCCCTCTCAGCACCGCAGTCACCATCACAGTACATGAGAGGCAAGAAGACTTGGTACGATAGTTAATCATGCTTTATGTTGTCGATGATGACGAATGGAACACAGCTTATTCTTGTCTGTGGGTGGTGATGGTGTTTTAGGGGGTTGGGTGGCTAAAACAAGAGAATGGACAGCAGGGGAAGACCGGCTGAGCAATCAGGAGAAAGTAACAAAATGACTTGAAGTCAACAGATGGCGTGGAGGGGGAGGGAAGGCGAGCTCAGGGGGGGGAGGGAACAGGGCCGACCCTGTGATAATAAAAATCGGAGGACAAGCGATGTACAAAAAGCGCAGAGCAACTTTCTCCTTCAAACTATCTTACAATACAATTCATTTTAGACAAACCCATTGCACTCTTCTCCAAAAACCACAGGTGGTGAAAGGTGTTTGTGTGCGATTGTTTTGCGAATGTGTGTGGGGTCTAATTTAGTCACAAGACTCGTATCTATTCCTATCGTGCCTTGGGACTGCTGTTCTTTTGAAGAGGAGTGGAAGAGGAACTACATTTCACTGCTCTGAGAGTCATCCTACCTAACTGCGAGGCAGGGCACTCCACACACTCAGGAGGATGTGAATCCATTTCATCCACAGAGCACTTATGTGCTAAGCCTCCAAACAGTCGGCCGATGATCTGAAGTTTATTTCCCTTCAATGTACTTCACATCCCTCTGACTTTCCACAGTAAACCTACACATGCTTTTTCAGCACGGTGTTGGCTGCAGGCAAAGAGGATCTTTGAGGCAGGCTTGATGGTTGTGCCACAATGATCACCATATAGCAGTATCGTCTGGCGCATCACATGCAACGGAATCTACTGGTGTTCACTGCGCTGATCTGCATGTTAAGATAAAGCTATTTTTATCGCCCAATTTATTTCAGACCTGATTGGAGAAGATTAGTATTTGCATGTAATTATCTACTGCACAACATAATTGCCTATTATGATCACACTCCATGATTATTCCATAACAATAACATTTGAGTCTGAAACTGGACTTTTTGGGACCATGGTGATGACATAAAAAAAATGTCTGCTGCGTACTTTTATATTTCATCTGGTGTTTATTACATTACTGTTTGAAATTAGATACTGATATCAGTCTGACACTGACTCAAATGGGTGGATGAGGTATAAGCAATGTGGTATTGGATTTCAATATTTTTATAAATAACAATTTAGACATTTATACCTTATCGTTCCATGTTGCTTTACAAACTTCGGAAAGCCGTGTTGAAACCACACTTGTTTCCTTATTACAAAATAATTATCCCAGTCGCTTGCACACAGTGCTGTACACATTTTGTTTTAATTAATTTAATAATGGTATTATTATTATTATTATTATATATAATGGCCGATCAGTGAATCCCTAATTTGATGAGCACAGGGCTCCAAAAGTGCAGTCAAACTGTGTAATAAATAATTCACATATTTCTACCGAATCTGAAGCACTTTATCAATTATGTACTACTACTAATAATTATTCTTAGTATTTCTTGGTTAACCAGTTAATTGTCAAAACATTTCAGAACACAAGATAATTTCAAGATCAAATAAAAAAAAACATTTCTGATTTACCAGTCATGTTTGTTAAACAACAGTACATTTTCACATTATATAAAAAAGGGGCTGGAAAAAGCTGATTAGTCATTTAAAGAATTATAATAATTAAACAACTAGTGAATTAGCAACATGGGTGAAGATTGATTTCACTGATTTTCATTAACTCATTATGTTTATGGTCTATGATTATTAAATGATATATTGATATCATTTTAATCCCTGCTCCTTTTCGCTCAATGGTGTTTTGGTAGTCATGTTTTGTGGCAATTATTGTATATTTGGTTTTGCGTACCATGAGCGGGACAAATAAAAATGAAATGAAATATTTCAATCTGTCAGAAAATATTTATTTGTAAAGTATATGGATCAGCCAAATATATATTGTTGTTGTCGAACAAAAGATCATAAGAGATAAAGCATGGATGAAGCATTAGATCTAAATGAACATGATTAACTATAAGCATACAAACAACATCATAATCATCACTGTAGGGTAACAAATCACTTAACTACAATTGACATGTGAGGATGGCTACACCTAAAGCACATCCAATCTGTCCCCAAGCAGGACTCTCTCAAACATAATCCATTCAACAGACCTCTGCTGTCAGTTTATCACAGCAAAACCGGGTCCAGAAAAACTAAATAAATATTCTCAGCTCTGAACAAGAGTTCATTTTTCTTGCTGACGTTTCCCTGCTATTTCAGTGCCGTAGCGGAGATGAAAGTGCAGAGGGTGATCCACCAACATTAATGTCCGTATCAAGTCATTTGTCCTTGCCGCTGTCACCCCAGGCAAGACCTTATTAGGTTAGAGAGAGCCCCGGTTCCTACGCAGTGACAACAAAACATGAGCCACTCAGCAGTAAAGCAGATGGATATTCAAGCGGACAACCTACTCTCAACATTTCCCCAAACCGACTCGGGATGAAGATGCAGTGTTGTTATGAAACCCCTGCCATCCGGTAAACGCAGGACTTCCCCAGTGCAGCACTGGAATGCATAACGGCCTGAAAATGTTTTTATTTTTTTAATTATTGGCAGCACTGTGGCTGGTGGTCTGTGCAGTAGATAGCTTAATATTAATTTAAAACCTATACTATTGGACGGGCACAGTGTCCATGGCAGGAGGTCAGCACAGCAGCTAATTTCTATGAGCAGCCATGAACATTTGAACTCGTACTGTTGACTGCACTTAGTGATCTTTATTCGTCCGTGTTAGCTGAGCATTCAGTCATCCACTGCATGCTGCAATGATTTATATATGCACTGCTGCTCTGCGAAAACTTTGCAGATTTGACTCGACAGAGCATTTCCACCCCCGCTTTGTGTTGACATCATGCCCCTAATGAGAAAAACAGCAGCGTCAACAACAGAATGGGAAAGATCCCATTATTGGACAGCAGTGGTAGAAATGGTTTTTATCACAAGTCAGAGTTCAACTTGTGCCGTGATGCTGTTATTACATTTAAAATGGAATAAGGATGGAGGAAAGTAGACAAGGTACTTTATGAGTGCCAGGAAACGGTTTGCTGTAACATTTTCCATCTTTTTATGCCCCTCTGAAGATTAGCTTTACAGAAGAGCTAGTGTGCATTTTAACAGATGCCTCTTTGAAAGCTGAGTGCTGCGATTTAAAAAGTAGGAAAATGTAACGTCACTCAACCCAATTTGCTTCTTGAGGAGTCAGCATTCTATGGGGTATACAAATATATCAAAGTGTTTAACTTTATATACACAAACTGGTATATTTAAAAAAAAAAACTCTAAGCTGAGCTAACAAAGTGAATATAAGTCTTTAGATGAAGCAGAACATTTGTCACAACTGACAAGTATATTCATCATATTGTATCAATTAAATCAATTGATCATTTAATCTATACATTGTCAATTACAGTTTCCCTGAGGTGGCATCTTTTTGATAAATCATCAATAACACTTCAGAGAAAACACACATCACAATAACCTTTAAGTTTAATGTGATGTCTTAAAATGTCTTATTTTGTCCGAAGAGAGGTCAACATATTTATTTTAATGATAGTTAAATAATAACAAAAAAAACAGGATATTTTCACATTTGATAAGCTGCAAACAGCGCATTTTTGGTCCTTCCACTTATAAATTAAGTTTAATTATATAAGTAAAAAAAAAAAAAAAATCTTTATCTACATCATACCAATAGGTTTGAATTTTTGCATGTGTGTTGTATAAACCTGTTTGCCTTAGATAAGGATCACAGGATCAGTGTGGTTATAATGCCCCCTCCAGTATGAGATGTGATCCCATTAGCTGGAAACAAAGCCTCTTTACTGCCAGTGATAGGGTAAATCTGTTCCTGCACCAACTGAGAGAGGGGGAGGAAGGGAGGGAGGGAGGGGGGCATCTCTCCCACTTTTATTTCCGGACTGTCCAGCCAGCTCACATTCAATACATTTTCGGGGCTGAAGCTATTGATCTGCACATCTCTCTACCCACACACAAACAAGCACACACTCTCTTCCACTCACATCTGTTTCTAAGTGCATTACGTTCCTAAGCCTGTCTGTCAGCACTCACCAACAGCAAAAGGATGTAAAGCAAGCTATTTAGTTTTCCACACAGAGGCAAACAGGCCACTTCACCTCCATTACTAGCGCTTTCAATGGCAAAGAAATAGCTTTCCATTTTCCAATAGAGTGCCTCACCCTACATAATACACCTTAATGATGTCCAGGACATCCTCCTGCAGCGCTCTATTAAGAAATATTTCCCCATTGTTGGGCTTCAAAGGGAGAAAACCTGCAAATAGATTTGACTGACATTGCAAGAAAATAGGTTAAGAGAGTCGTTCACTTTTGCTGATTCAAGCACAGACCAAGAGGCAAAACAGTGCAGCAGTGTTGTTGGTAAAAGCAGGGTTCTGAGATTCAAGGTAATTAGGTTGATTAGGTTTGGGCTGTTTGCCCCCTAATACAACTGGAGGCCTACTTCAAGTAGCCCCTCCTGTCCACTCCCCTTCCTCAAAGATCACACAAGCAAACACTGACATCAATTTACATTTTAAACCAAATGTTGTCCCACCATGATGCCACATGGCAGAGGGTTCTTTGCATAATGAAAAGGTCACGTTTGTTTACATTCTCCACCCTCAGCAGAGACTGCCTGGGCTGTACTTATAGTTGCACAGAAAGGCAGCTCTTTGGGGAGTTAAAGCAACAATGTAATGTAACAAATTGATACACATTGGACTATTGGACTTGCTATTAGGTAACAAGTTATTTAGTAGCCTACGCACATAAAAAAACCTTTTAAAAAGAGATGCTGGATTAGCCTGGATATAAAACAATCAGATTGGCATGGTGTATTACAAGATATAAATTGTGCAAAGGCACTGTACAATCTTCTAAAATTGGATTGCAATATAGAAGCTACAATGCTATTTTGTAGCTAAACAGCCCAGTGAGCACCATTGATTAAATGCTTAATATTGCAACTCCCTTGTCAAATTGAATTATCAGCATGTAGTCATGTACAGAGAAATGTGGTGGTATGTCCTGTAGTGCTGCTAATGGACTGTCAATGGTGGCCTTTCTGCTGCAACTGTATCTGCAAATATGAATTCGACATGAACAGATTACAACCTAAACAGAGGAAATAGACCTTCACTTTAAAATACCCCAAGAGATCATTACACCACGCGTGTCATTAGCCCTAGCAATCGTGGCTGCATTTACTGTATTTGGAAAAAGAGTATCCTGCTCACCTGGCCAATCTCGCCGATCCCTCCCGAACCGTCGATCCGGGGACGCTTGCACTCCGCCCCGGTAGAGTCCACCAGAGCAGCCGCTGTCAGTCCGTCGGGCTCCGGGTCTCCGCGCTTCATGCCCCGGACAACCGCAGCAGGCCCGCCCACGTTAGGGTGCACCCCGGCCATGGGGTCCAGCTCTCTATCCCGGTCCATGAGACCCCGGGATACAGGCAGCATGATGGATGCAACGTCGGTAGACATTAACATTTAAAAATCTTATTTTGTCCCCTGTCTTTTGCTAAACTGGGGGTGAAATAGACTGCCTAATCCTGTGCACCTTTGTGCTTAAAGTCAGTCTGTGGACGGTGTTCCACTGCAGATAAAATGGTCCAATAATTCTGCAAATGAGCCTCTACTGTATTCTCTACTGGGCCTTTGTACCCCCTGAAGAGTTGAACTGTTTTGTCTCTCTGGTTTAACAATGTAATCTATCCACCGCGTTTGTTTAAAAAAACAAAAAGCTCGTAAACGCAGTTTTTACCTTACTGCAATACAGTGTCTCAATCCAAACATGTCCCCCTAAAATACCAGCAGCTTTGTATCCCGTTTGCTGACCGTGTATGCAGGGCTGCCTAAGAGGCCTACGTTATTTCAGATCATAACACGCCAATTAAATAAACACGGATTAAAACAATGGCTCGTGAGCATAACCTACCGCCCAATTTCCATTTGGCCTCGTCTTGTTTCTCTACGAGGAGCCGTCTGTTTTTTTAAGAGCACAACATCAACATCATACGGCAACCTCAAGACGAAAGAAATCTCAACATGTCTTCGCTGTCGCCTTTTTCCTCCCCGTCTATTAGCCACAGACTTGCACCAAAGAGCAGAGGTTCACTGAAAGTCAATCCGCGTCAGGAGCTCTCTCTTCCCCCCATGTTAGTCCGCAAGTCTGCGTGAAAAGGAGATACGATTTCAACCCCAAAAAAACAACAACCAAACCGACGGTGGTGTTGCGGTGTTTCCTTCCTCTCTCTCGTTCTCGCCTATAATTTTCTTTCCTCTCTCCGTTTTCCCGGTGTGATCTTGTAGCGTGTGTGTTACAGAAAGGAAATTGTCCTCCCTCCTCCCCTCTTGGTTTAGTCCTTCCCCTCCTCCTATCTTCCGCTCTCCCTTTGAACGCTGAGCCAGGCAGCCATGCAGCCTGCAGAATACACGCAGTGTGCCGCAGTGCTTCCATACATTTCACCGAGGGGAGGTGTGTGTGTGTGTGTGTGTGTGTGTGTGTGTTGTGTGTGTTGTAACTTGTGTGTGTGTGTGTGTGTGTGGTGTGTGTGTGTTGTGTGTGTGTTGTGNGGGGGGGGGGTCTTATGGCAGTGAGACGACCACGCTGTCACAGTATAAACCTAAGCCTTTAAATCATGTGTTCATTTCGCTATTGTTTTTTACCGGTACATCATTTCCAACATCTTAATGAGGCCGTTTTTACACACAAAAAACGTGTTTATCGGTGGTCACATTACATGGCAGAACAACAGTCTGGTCTTATCAAGTCCAGCTCTAGAAGATTTCATTCCTAACTCATTACACAACCAATAGGCCAAGGTCTCCACACTAGCACAGCTGTGAGTCATGCAGCATGGAGTACCTGGCTTGTTCCTCTGGCATTTTTATTGCTTGGATGACACCCAGTGGTCAAAGGCTACCATGAGAAGCAAATACTTCAAAGGCAATTTGCTGTAGCAAATTATAGGCCTAATACAAGCAAAATATGATTTCAAAAGTCTCCCATTTGACTTGCAGGGCGTGAGAGTGGTTAGCCTCCCCTGACTACACCACCAATCTCATGCTGAACATGCCAAGGTGCCAGTATGCGTGTTCATGCTCACATTCAGGCACAAAATGCTCAACCGCTGGGTATAAAGAAAGTCTACACATTGTCTGCTCCAAATAAATACTTTATTTGTCTCTCTCTAGTTCCTCTTGCCTGAGAAAGATCTTGTAGATGGAAATGTCACCCTGAAAAGAGAAATAAACAATTGATATGCACATTGTGCAGCCTCCTTTGCGTGTGCCCTTACATAGTTACCATATACAACCTTTATGAAAGAGGAAAATACATGCTCTTTCTGGGTTAGCAGAAAGATCACTCACATTTTGTTACATAGGAAGTTAAAGCCAGGAGATCATCTGCTAAGCTTTGCATGAAGACTGGGAGTGAGGGGAAACAGCTATTTCTACAAAAAAAACATAACCCACTTAGCAGCACCTTTAAAAAATGGACACATTGTGCTTTTACTAGTAATATTTGTTGGACCATTTCTTTTGAGCTGTGACTTCCAAGAAGGTTCCATTCCTTGCCACCCTGTAAACCAAATAGGCAATAAATTGCTACTTTTGCACTTTGGTTCTTCAACAAATAAACATACTGGCTATGTTTGAACTAAAATGGCTGTTGGATGGTGCAGAGCTACACCTAAAATAGATGTGTTGTGTAAATCAGCCCCATCGTTTGGATCCACTCCTACATGCTTTGCTTAAGTGTCAGAGGGGATGGCAGGCAGAAGACAAAGTCAGGCCAGCTGTTTCCAACAGTTTTATCTAAGCTTAGCAGCTGTTAGAGCCTTATAAAACAGTTGTATACTCTATTAGAACAGTTGTTCGGGTGGTCCAATACTTTAAAAAATCCCCTCCCCCCCTCACAGCAAATTAGCTGAGGGCTTTTGGTAACTTTCCAAACCATCAATCAATCCTGCGTACACATCGATTTTACAGATGTGTGGACGGAGAAATTAACCAAGGTTTAAACTTCTCTTTTTCCTTTTGTCACAAACTGTCATTTTCATGTGAAAAAAAGTAACAAATAGTCAACACGATGAAAGAACTTCATGAGATCCCATCTGAATATGTGCACTGTAAATGCACAGGAAAAAAGCAAGGTTAGGGACACAAGTTGAAAATTCAAAAAGCTATAAACTGTCTGTGCAGCAAATCGGCTTCATTCACTATAGTATAACTATGTCAAATATCATTAACCCCTTCAAATAAAATACAATTTGTATCATAATTACCTAACAAATTAGCACGCAGTTAAACTATATAATGTTCCAACTGTGTAATCTGTCCATATGTGTATAATCAAATTTGGGTGTAAATTTGTTAAAGTTCCAGACTTCCTCCCCATACTGATGTTTGGATAGGAATGCTTTTCTGGACATTAAAGATGTTCTTTGGATAAGAATACACTTCCACAAATACCAATAGAACTTAAACTTCTGCTTTAAACAATTAGACTGACTGTGGTCATAGTCATGTTAGACACTTAAAATGTCAAAACGCAATAACGTTGGTTTTTAATTGTTTGGAAAAAGATGTATGCACATTTCTTGTCTTTCTACCTCTTTTACAGAACACTGGTTAATAGCAAACGCTTTAGTTATCTTGCTCAAACTTATGTTGCTGTAAACCTTCTGTATGTTTTACATAAAGGGCAGAACAGCACAGCAGTCTCAATGTTTATGTAAAATATACTGCCTCCCTGTTTCTGTGTGAGTGCCACTTCCTGCTGTAAAACCTATTGGCTTCAAGCTCAGGCACAAACACACACACTCAGTTAGTCCTTTTAAGAGCTTTTATTGGTGGGTGAACAAGTGATGTCCAGATCTGAAAAGGAGAAGAGAGATGTGTTCAGTATAAAACAATAACATTGTGTTTCTACATGAACAAAAACACATTAGTACTGCATATCAGATCATAATCATGACCATCATCTCAACCAACTTTAATTGTCTTCCATGTCGTAACTGAAAAACAGGAAATGGATCAGTCTTGATAAATAATTCAAAATTCTCCTCATTACTAAATCATTGCCCTGCTGTCAAGTAGAACTGCAGCTACTTCAGACTCTCAGGCGGTTTTCAGTGAGGAGGGTTGTAATGGAGCTCCTTCATGTGTGTTTTCATGTCATCTTCTAAGTGCGTGGTGGGTGATATGAGGACAGAGTGCACATTTTCCCTCACCGTCACTGGCCAAAGCATCCCTCGACACAAGGCCCGTCCCGTGGCGAGCAGATTTCAGTCGAACACATAAAGTAGATCTGAGAGGGGGGGGGGGGGGGAAGAAGAGCAGGATTTGGATGTAGAGTCCAGTCCCGAGAGTGTGAAGCATACTATGACTAACAGCTGCTACAAATTGAGATTTGGCCAGACTTTGCAGTTTACAAAATGGCCTCGCCACATGTCCTTGCAATGAATGCCGATTTAGGAGATTTAGAGATACAGCTGTCAATGGTTTCATTCTCCATGGACTTAATGCCCATTTTAAAAAGGCTCACAGCCATATAGTTTTACATTACATTTATTTTCTCCCAAGAAAAAATATATATAAAGTAAAGGTTCCAACGCCAACAGCCACTATCAGATAAGATTACATTGATGCCCAACTACTCTCGGCAGACAGCTGCACGTCTGAAAGGTTTTCCATTGCTCGAAAACATAAAAACGATATGGGAAGTGGGCTTAGAGCATTGTGAGACATTTAGGGAAATACACATATTTGTTCTCTTGCCAAAAGTTAGACAAGAAGATTGATACCACCATTAAATATGAAGCTCGGGCCAATAACTGATTAGCTAAGCACAGAAATGTGGCACAGAAATCCCTGAACAAGCACTTTATAACACTCCATTAAACCATAACCTGTCATTTTTGTACACTTCAGCTTTTGTATGGATTAAAGAAAACTAAATAAAATGTGTTAATTGGTGAACTTTAGATTTGTGGGGACATAATTGAAACAAATTAATAGGATCCAAGAGTCTCTGCTTATGCGTACCTCCTCGTCCGGGTCCTTAAAGTCGCCATCAGGAAGGAACTGGAAGGTGCTGATTGTGAAATGGCGGGTCTGAGCCTGAGGAGAGGGAGGCCGGGGATCAGAGAGCACAGCTTGCTGCAGGGCTGGATCCAAGGGGTTGGGACACCTATGAAGTGAAAATGTATCATTGGGTATCACAATTATGCTTCCCTGATATTTGCAGTTATCTGAGTGAAATGCACTTTCTAAATGTGTTGTGTTCCATCTTCAGTAAGCTTTTCCTCAATATTTTGTTTTTGATGTTCCGCTTACAGAAATATTTGGACATACCCGTTGTAAAGCAGCATCCAAACAGCCTTCCCAGAGCGGGGGTAGGCCACACAGAAGTTCACCAGCAGCACCAAACTGGGATCCGGGGCGTTGAGAAGCCGCACTTCCAGGTAGAGGGGTTTCCCCAGCAGCATTTGCAGGGGCTGGTGATACTGAGGGTGGAAGCTGCTGTACTGCGCGTCTGGGATGAGGGTTGTTGGGTTAGAAGGAGGTTATTTGTGAAGCACATTCCACACTCTCAATGCTATTTCTCATACAGCTGATCAGGAGATGTTTGAAGCAAATTACAACATTTGATTTTGTATTCCTGTGTCGAGAGACACAGGAATAAAACAGCACAATATTACAAGTTCTTAGCTGTGCAAAGCAGTAGTAAGTATTGAAATAAAGACACCTACCTTTGGCAATCCTGAGCTGCACTCCAAACATCCCCTGTGTCTGAACTTCAGATCCAAGAGTGGGAGTTTTAACCAAGTAGCTCACACTCAGAACGGTGCCTGGCAGAAACCTGCACTCCACCAACAACCTAAAAAGGAGACAGAGAACTTAATAAATATAAAGCATGCTTCTGTTTTAGTTTTTTTGGCATTTTTCCTTAGCAGGAATTGAACCAGAAACATTAGGATTAAATGGCAAACCATTGGACTGGCTTGTAAACTTAGTGGAGCATTTAGCAGCTCAAGAATATTTCTCTTAGGGGTTGGAACAGACCAAAAAACTAAGAGGGATAAATACTGGGCTATGATTCCTCAGGTGGACACAAGCACGACTCTAAATTAAGGAAAATGTTTCTCCATAACTGCTGGATGAGTATATGAGAAACAAGTTTGCTCCATTAACCTAAGAGATGATATGTCATGTCTTCTCAACTTTCGTTTTTTTATTGCAAGTGTAACTAATCTTAATGTGGAGCTTAATAAAACTGACAACAGATCAACTAAAAAGTTAAATCTAGTTTTTGCCTTTGGTCAAAAGAAAATGCAAAAGTAAAAAGCAACATGCTCCAACCTGACAGGAGAATCCCTTGTGATGGTGCCGTAGTTGAGGCTGAGTGCCTGAACCTTGTTTATGATCTCCAACATGTAGATCACCGTTTTTCCGGCCATCTGTCAGTACACAATCGGACATGTCACTTATTATGTGGACATTAATAGTTTTTAAATAGTCCATGATCAGTAAGGTTACACAGGAAAACATACAGTTTGCTTATTTTAACCTCTGCCAAAAAAAGTAATATTTTTGGTTCTGTTTTTTTGTCAGCAGACTTAATGCAAAGCTACTCGCCCAATTTTAAAAGAAACTTGAAAGGGTGTACTGTGGGCCAAGTAAAGGCACGTTAAGCTTGGGAGCGCTCTTCTTGTAACTAGTTAATATGGGTATAAATAAAGTAATAATAATTATAATATCACCAGACAAGTCCTTTAATCATTATTATATTTAGTAAAACCAATGGTCCAGATATACATTTACTACTCAGGTTCTCAACTTTAAAAACAAATATTTTCATTCATAAAAGCATACCAGTCTGCGTGTCCCACAACCATCCATCGGGATCTTGAACAAGGCGTAGTCGGAAGTCACTCTCTCAGGTTTGCAGGTGGAGTTGCCAGCAGCGACAAGCATGGCGGGGGAAAGAGGGGGGTCCGTGAGGGAGGCCGGCACGGAGAAGACAAAGTGGCGGTCAATAGTGCATTCTGGAGGAGGACACAAACATGCAGTCATGTAAAGGTCAGATATACAAAAGGTCAGTAATCTCAGGAGGCAGCTGATAATGAGACCCAAGGTATCTTATACCCTTTCCTCATTCTGTGCCTCTTCCAGCTTGAATGATGCTAAGCTGGCCCTAAATATGCCACTTTACATATTCACCAGCTGTATTGCTAATAATTACACACACAAAAAGCTAAACTGTACTCAGCTAAGTGGCTGTAAAAGCCAGCAGGACACAAACTACTCACCATCCATGGGGTAGTAGCAGGCAGGCTTGCTGAAGCAGCAGCCCACGGAGAGGCACTGACCCTGGGATACAGAGTGGAGTCCGCAGGGGAGACGCTGTTCGATGGGAAGGTTGCACTCTGAGGGACAGCACGGCAAATGTCAGCTGCATCAGTTAAAATAACTCTGAATGGCCGGGAGAAAACATCCTTTGGCAAATTGAATAGCCTTTCAGAGGTGTAAACATAAAATCAATTTACCTTGTCCAGACCTTGGGATGACAACTGGACAGGAAAGCCGAGCCTTCCGTCGCCCATTTAGCGTCAGGTAGACGACAGTGATGATGTACAATTTACCCTTTTAGTGAAATATGTTCATACAAGAGTTAATGGGCACAGCAAATGGTCAATTAAATAAAAGGTCATGTGCTCAGTGTGAAAGCTGAGTCAATACTTGCCTGCACACTCATGTGGCAGCGCGAGTGCAACTCCAGACTCAAAAGGTTTTTGCCATCTTTGCCTTTTCTTGCAGAATACCCACAGTCCTTTGGGGCATCCTGGAGGATCATCTGGTTCCCTTTGATGTCTGAAGAAGTAAAAGTGCAAACATACAATTGTGTAGACCTCAAAATGGCACAATTATAGCCCTCAGCATGGCAAGGCAGCAAGTTTTAAATGCATCCCAGTCAAAACAAAAACCAAGACCTACCTTTTCTTCCTTGAACTGTACACAAGAGAGCCCCCCCTGAATCAATTAAAGTCCTGCAGACCTGATGGCAACCATATGCAACTCCAATATACACATGCACACACCTTTAACAAAAATGTCTGAGATGGGACCGGGGGCGAGCTCCACAGCCATCTTATCGGAGGAGCAGAAGACTTTAGGCTTTGGGACAACAAGGGTCGGGCTGACCTTGGCCTTGGGGGTGCTGACTGGTGTTGGAAACACTGATGGGGTAACTACTGCAGGAGGGGCAGTTTGATACGGGCATTGCAGGTCCAGAGTCCTATACTGCCCAATGGAAAGGTCCCAAAACCGCAGTGGTAAGGAAATAGTCGTGGGAGTCTAAAGAAAAAGAGATCAATAAAGTCAGTATGAGCCACCACGCATGTTTTCCTTTCCAACTGCATTTAAAAATAGAGCCTGCAAGCTGAGATCAACTCACAAAAATCGCTGAATTCGTACCAGTTTTGCTGCACAGAACATAAAAAAAACTTCACAACGTACACAAGCATGCAGAGCTAATGCTGTATATGTTCCATATGGGATTAATCGTAAACATTTGAGCTGCTGACTGGGAAAAACTGCAGGTTTGTATTATACAAGCAGGACGGGTGTAAATCGCTGTAATGCCAACCCAAGAGAAACCAACCTCCAGCAATCTAATTTTGTACTTTGTGGCGTCATTGTTTTGGACTTTGTTTAGGCAAATTAAACACTTCACAATATAATGTAGTGTAATAAAATCACCACCAAAAACTACACACTCAAAAAGGAAAGCTCATGACCTCAATTACATCTTTCCATCTGGTTTGTCTCAGTCTTATTAGTCTTTATTACAGTTATTGAGAGTCTATTGGTATTTTTATATGGACCAAAAACACCTTCACCAGAGGGAAGAGCAGGACTTTCTCTTTTCATTGCAAGTTAAAATATGTTGATCCTCACCTGTCACTAAGACTTGATGGTGTCCAAAAACTTAAATTGAACCCATGAGCTTCTCAAATACCAACGTTTATCTTAAAGTATCCTGATTTCATAAAGGGCAGATATAAAAGCCATTTCATGGGGACTTCTAAAAAGATACAAATAATTCCTACAAAATGGTTATATTGTCATTAGACCTCTAAACTACATTAAGAAATCATTTATTTAAAAAGGATCTGAATACAATATTCAGACTCGGAGCATATCTATGATTAAAGGGATGGCCTACACAAGGCTGTCAACATGGCAACGCACAGCCATACTGGCTATGCAAGCAAAGAACAGAGAAGCTCCAATTACAAACACACGGGGGAGAGTGACTTCATTCTCTGCTCAGGTAGACATCTCCCCACAATATATCTTCATAGCAAATAGTTGACTTTTTAAAAAAAGGCACTGAATATATTGAGAGCCTTTAAAATAAAGTCAGGGACATAGTTAAACTAAAGTAATTATATAAAAGAGGACCTTTTCAGGCGTTGACAAGGTATTATGGAGGATCTCACCAATTGCTGGCTGTGACAGGCAGGCAGAGGAGTGTGAAGGAATACCCCAGAGCCCTCTGCTCTCTTCAGCTTGTACCTACACTCCGAAGACACACTGGAGACGAACAGCCACGTCATCATTTCGTCTGTTAGAAACAAGGTTAGATAGATGATATGACACGCAATTCATGTAATTTAATTTTAGCAGTAAAAGCTGATCTATGCACACTGATGCAGTAGTGTTTTTGATATGAAAAGCCACAAGTCGTTCCAACATGGAGAGCCTCTTTGTTTACACACACACTGACCTCTGACCTGGATGGATTCTGGGTGAGCAAAAGGCAGGAAGACAACTATCGCCCCCATCAGACACTTGAAATGGTGGTGCTGTGGAGTGGGTGCAGCTGTAGGGGAAACTGGATAACTTGTGTAGGTAGGAGTAGTAGGGATCGTAGTGGTACTGGTGGTGGTGGTGGTGGTGATGGTTGGAGGATGTGTCACTGGATGATTGGGGTACGATGGAAGGTTGTGTGGCGGGTAGAGAGGATGGTGGGGATAATAGGGATGCGGGGGGTGGACACACACGGTGTGAGTGTTGGGTTGAGTGGTTGGTGTATGAGTTTCCTGAGTAACTGTCTGAGCCATCTCTTTGGCATGTGGCGGAGCTGTGACATGTGGAAAATGAATTGTTTGTTTAGGGGAAGACTGGTGGAAGGGATAGCTGGGAAGGTCGGGCTGTTTGGGAACCATTGTCCTAGTGATTGTAGGTGGAACAGGGGAAGGTGTAGTGATGGCAGGATGTGAAGTAGGAGCAGGCTGCACCCCAACACCAGGGTTGGAAAACATTCCATCGTAAAAATTAAAATAAGCGGGAGGATAGAATGGATAGATAGGGTACTCTGGATCAGCAGGTTGTTTCGGTGACAGCGGGCTGGGTGTGAGAGGAGCTGGTGACTGGGTCACTGGTGCCGCAGTGGGTTCAGGATAATAGGGCATCTGAAGATAATACTCAGGGTAATAAAGACTTGCTGGATGTTTGGGTGGGTGGGTAGCTGGAGGGGATGTGGGATGAGGGGTGTGGGCAGGTTGTGGTCCAGAAGGGAAGACCTGGGGAAACTGTGGGTACTGGAATCCTGGATAGGGATAATTGGGGAAGTGAGGAAGCTGAGCAAAATGCTCCTGGGTTGTAGGCTGAGGAGGAGTAGTAGTAGTAGTAGTAGGAGGAGGAGGAGGGGTGGTTGAAGAGCTAACAGTATCTGGGTTGTAGGGAAACTGAGGATTAACTGGGCAGGAGAGGATGTATGTCTCATCATCTAATACAAACTGGAGATGAAGACCACCCTGAAAAACAGCATCACATAAAAATATAATCAGTACAAGCCAGCAGCCTACCACAGTACTCCATTCAAGTTAAATAACTTACTGAATGTGTGATACAAGCAGCACTGTAGGAGATGAAGAAGGCGAGATTCCCAGGACTGGAGGAGACACGGTACGCGCACTCTTGAGATACAAATGGACCCCAACCTCCATTGACTGTAAAACATTTAACACGTGTTTTTCGAGAGGGCATATTGGCAATATGGGAGTTTTAATAACCTTACTGGCTAACTATATTTAAAATGTGGCTCTTTTTAGAATAACATAATGAATAATAAAACAAAGATCAGTATATCTCCACTATATTGGTAGAAATGCTGAGATGGCTTTGAGACAGCATAGAGATCTTTATGCAAGAATAGGATGCAGTCACTCTTATTTTTTACAAATCCATACATTCACATTGAAAACATAATAAATATTAGCATTGATTTCAGGGAAAGTTGAGATAAATATTTTTCTAGCGTTGGTTACTGTACTGTTCAATTCCTTACTGAATAATAAAATATCTATGTATAAACTATTTTATAAAGGGTTCATCTTAATTAAACATGTCTGTTTTTCTTTCATTCTTATGCGTTTATTTTACATGTTGTTCATTTCTAATCATGTAATCTCTAGCTAAATAACTATCTCAGAGTTTAGCCTGTTTTACCTTGACATATCAGATTATATTCTTTTTCAGTAAAATGTCAGAAAAAGATTAATCATTAGGGAAATTGTGGACCCATAACATTTAAAGAAAATGTATGATCATTTTATTTCCCAAAGTGCAAACAATTGATAATGTTTCAAAGCCATCTCAATGCTGACAAGATTATTATCTTGTTGTATTCATGATTTATTTTGGCCTAAAAGTATACACATTTAAATACTGTGAATCCAAAACCATTATGTCTGAAGAAACTGCATTTAGCCTGAAAAAAACCGTAGCATGTAAACACTGCTAAATGTAGATCCGTCCCTTGTCAGATTTAAATCTAAACCTCAATTTATTCTTCAGATAAAATGATTTTTTTTACAATAAACAGTGAACAAATTCATTAAAAAGGGCTAGTTTGTTATCTATATAGATTATATTATACTAAGATATATAGTACTAGGCAAACAAATCAAAAAACACTTTACAATTGAAGTTGTTGTAATCAAAAGTACTTTGTCAAACAACTCAGTATTAAATCACAGATAACCCCAACGTACCTACGAATCCCAGTAACTGTATATCCTGCTCCTGTCCCTGCATCTGCAATGCCATGCCGTAGGGGGAGCAGAACACCCAGGGGGCCGAGTGAGAGGACGCTTGCACGGGACAGGAGAGCTTCAGTGGGCTGCCCCACCACAACATGGGCAGCACATAACTGCCATTCTGACAGAGAGAAACATACAGGGGCTGATGAGCACAGGACAAGGGAATCACTGGTGGAGATATAATGCAGGTGCTACTGCTGGTACCTCCTGTGTAATGTAACATGCATCATAAGGCACAGTCATCTCGAGGTCACTCCATGACATCTTCACCAAGTAACCACAGTATGGAGGTAACTGGGACAGGGAGATTGGAGAAGCTGTCCCTGTAAGAGAAAATTAATTTAAATGTGGATTGGACGGTTTAAGCATTCATCAAGCTAAAATACCAAACATCTGCTAGCTCCTTAAATGTGAGGATTTTCAGATTCTTTGATTATGTTTGTAATTGATTTGTTGCACATAACTAGCAATTTGAGGACTTGTAATGGGCTTTTCTAATTAGTTTCTGGCAATTAACAGAATAAACCAATTATAAATGTAATTGAAAAACAGCAGAAAGAAAGACAATTAAAATAGGGGTTACTTGAAGTCATGCTACATTTTAAGAAACATCAATAGTACTGTATTGATTCTCACCACAAAAACTAGCATTTCATGTAGATATTCAATTACCTGTATATAAAATATGTCCTTCATAACATTTCCATTTTCCACCCAAGCTGATGAAAACATTCAAAGAGCAGTGCACCACCTTCATACATCTTACCTCTGTCTACTAACAGGTGTGTGAATTCTTCTCCAGCGGCAGTGAAGGTCATGACACCATCAGCACACTTCACTAAGGGGCTCATAGCTAGCCACTTTGAGAAATATGGACTGGAGGTGGGGCCAGACACCTTCCCCTGCACATGAAAACCTAAAAGGATATAGAACAGCATGTTAAACTGTAGAATAGTTTACACTTTACAGCTCCCCGTCTGAGCACTCCTTGACAATGGTAAACAAATATCTTTAGTTGTAACAATATAATAGTATCAGATTACATACTGTATTTCTTTCCAGAAAACATCCTAAAAAGAAAATATATTCAAGATCTAAATTATCTTTCAAACACTGCTTTCAGTATTTCAAATGTTGGTTTATTTATTCATTTGGTTGGCCTTAAACTAGAAAAATCAAAATACAGTGACTTCAAAACTAGTTTTTTACAATAAGAATGAACGATAAATTGAAGCCAATGCAGCTATATTGGTGATATTTAAGTATATACTTCAATTATTATTAAGATACAAATGGGTCTCAACCATAGACTGGTCTTGACTTATCAGAAGCAGGGATGTCGTTTTTTTAATTCAAGGCTTTTATTGTCATTCGTACATGTAGTTAACTGTCGATTAAAATCTTAAGGTCTCAGGCTCCTCCAACAGTGCAACACAATAAAACAGATAAAATAGTGCAATTAAATACAATAAAATAGAATAGAAGTAGTGCGATAAGAGTCTATACAAGTGAAACATAATTTGTCATTTGTAAGTTGCAAACAGGTAAATGTTATGGTCAAAAACGTGGGCCTACATTACCCACAAAGCAACTCCACTACTGTAATGAGCATCAGGTGTTTTTGCAGTAGCGGCTAATTTAACCTCAAGCTGCTAACCTCCAACGGACTGTAGATGGTGAGCAACAGAGTTCTTATCAACTCACTTACAGTATTTCTCGTCCACAGACTCTGAGTATTGACTTTCAAGTTTCCAAACCCAGCCAACGCTGACTCAAGTGACGTACCTTGAAATCAGCTCTTCACGCCACTGCTTCTGGAGCCATATTTATACAACTTAGTTTCATGTAGTACATGTGCAGCTGTAGGCTCACCCTAAAAAACAACTATGGGTTGTTTTTTTACCTGTAAAATCAGCTTTATATTCATTTTTCGAGACAGAAGTCGAGGTCCTTTCAACCACTCGGATGTGTCTGATATGTGGGTCCGGTTCTCCGAGGGAAATCACAGATTCAGGCCGTAGCTCGGTGAGATCCGGAGGGTTGGATCTGGGCAAACCTGGGCCCTGCTGCTGGTCGTTGTCATGAACTTGGTAAGCAGGTAAACCTTCCTTTCTTTGTCCTAAACTTACCGAATGACTTACTTGAAACGTGAACAAACAAAGCGTTGCAATAAATGAAAACAAAGTAATATGATCTCTTCTCGGTTTGCAAGACATGCTGTATTGTTGATGCTTGTTGGTCACATGCGCACTCCGGCGTCACCTGAACAAGAGGGCGATCAATTAAGAGTCATCAACTTTCTCATTGGTCCGTTGTTGATGACTCTTAATTGATCGCCCTCTTGTTCAGGTGACGCCGGAGTGCGCATGTGACCAACAAGCATCAACAATACAGCATGTCTTGCAAACAGAGAACAGATCATATTACTTTGCCAACACGGTTGAGTGCATCTTTTGGTAATGATAGTGACACTTTACCCATTTATATTGAACATTTATTTTGGTAATGTTACGTCATTTAGAACTTGTCAATTGACGCACCAGTACAAACACAAAACAAGGCGTGAATATTAAGGTCACAATGGAGCTTTCAAATAACTTGTTTCACAGTAAATTAGGTTACTGAAATCCCACAACATATGGCACGATGAACTTTATAAACAAATGTAAGGTTATTTTTGTTGATTCATCATCAAAGCTGCTTTTTAGGACATTCTGTAACCAACTTCTGATGCTTTCTCATGAATATATTGTATCACATAACAATGTTTTATTTAAAATAAGAACACAATATTGAATCTGTCCTTTTTTATTTATATATAACATTTGGTCTTTTCCAAGTTAGAAGAAGAGGTAAGAAGATGCCCAATCCTAGACATCATGGGGTTAGAGGTTTGTAAGAAGGAGGTGGATGCTCCGATTCAAAGTTTGGTCCTGATCAATGTTTCCCAGCCTTAGAGTTTGTGATCCCTTAACAAAGCAATGAGTACTTATTATGACCAATCCTGACAGGTCACCTATGTCTACTGTTGTGACTCATGTGCATTTCAACCAAAAGGTTTTGTTATTAAAAGTAAATAGTTAGTAATAGACTGGCAGTAATAGACAATGATTGTGTATATGAGGTAGAGGACTTAAAGGTGAACTGATAGTGCAGTATGAGTCATGGTGGAGGGAAAATGTGACTGTGGTGGAGTTTCTCCCTTATTGTGTTGCTGCAGATTGACAACAGGCCGTATCGGGGTGGACCGGCTGTAATCCTGGGTGTCCAGAGGCAACGAGAGTCTCTGAAATGTATCTGAAAAGCTCCGACTTTTTTAACCTAAAGCCTGTAGTGACGGCTTTGGGAAACGATTGGATGTTACTGGAATGTGCACTGACAGTTCAAAGGAAGGCAGAGCTGAGTGTAGCAGACAGGGATTTGTTGTGGAAAGTTGTATGCTGCGTAACAATTTCAGCACGTTGTTGCTGCACGTGGCCTCTGTAACATTAATGGCCTTTTCAGAAAATGTGGTTTAAGCTGTGCTTGGGGCTGTCTTCATATCTATCAAACTGGCGTGCCAACATACTGCCAATGACAATGCTACATGCGGAAGAGGAGCAGGTATATTGCTAAGCGTGTTCAACATTTTAGAGTAGCATTTTAGCAAATATGCTAATTTGTATTAAACACAAAGTATGCATTACGTTAGTATGCCGTTTCAAATACAGCCTTAGTCATAAACCAAACGGTGGGCCGACTGCTTTTTAAACCAAAAAGACAGATGATGGTGCTAGATGAATGTCAGAGGATCGCCAAAAGTTATCAATATAAATCTTCAGTGAAACATTAATGTCTGCAGAAAAGGTCATGCCATCCATCAGGTAGTTGTAGATCAGTCTGGACCAAAGGGATGGACCAACACTCAAGTAATGATGTCATAAGCCTCTAAAGGAAAGGTAGGAATATGTCATTTCATTTTAGAAGCCTAAGATGTCTACTTGGATATTACATTTCTTCAGGAGTAAAAATATAAATTATGTAAAAAATAAACACATGGATTTAATTATTTTGAGAATATTTCACTTTTTTAAATCAGGTCTTTCAGTAGCATCTACTTCTGTAAAATGTATTTCCAATGGCTGCCCACTGCAAAAAGGATGTTAGATTGTACTTTCTGCAGAGGCTCACATGTTGTGATGGGAATAGAAAACTCCAGTGTCTCAGATGTGGTCCATGAGCACCCACTCACCGTTCACTGTGAGGATATGACCAACCATCAGGGCTCTGATGTAATGGTTTCAATTTTGACTTCTATTCAGAGTTACTGCCAGGAGAAAATACTTCCCCTTGTCTTTTCCTACACCCTGTGAAAATAACACGTCTCAAAATGATTTTCATCTCAAGAGTACTAGCAGAGACTTACAATTGTGGCTCTGTTAGCGCCCATTCAGTTGTGCACTTAGTCATATAACAGAACTTGTGAGAAATGTATTTACTCTCCAAGAGATATTTGGTTTCAATAGGTCTCATCCAGAATTGCTAGTCTTTAACTTACCTCTCCCCAGTTTCACATTCTCATGTTAAAGAGCAATGTTACAAAGCTTCAATTCTTGTGAAAAAGACTACCAGGCAAACCTTGATACAGCACGTGTCTTGAAGATACTTCCAGAATTCTCAAAAATAATGGATTAGATATCACAGAATGAAATTGGGTAAAAGGTTTTGAAGAGTCTTATTATGGAAGAACCTAATAATTATTAAATTACCTTCTGGGTGGCAAATGTTCCCTTTAACAAACAACTTTAGGAGAAGGGAGCCTTATTTGTGCCAAACCATAAAGAATAAACATTCCCCTTTCTGTTTTACTTCAATCACAGCATCTGTACACACTGTACTTTCTCTGCTTTCTGCATTGAGCCATGTAAACTGCTTATTTAATTCTTGCTTCTGTATTATTTTACCGGCCACAGATGACCAGAGTGGGAAAGTGTCAGGATAATTCCTAATCCTGATATGTTTCCAGGTTACTGAGTGAATCTGTACTGTCAACAAATGAGGGAATGCTCTGTGAAAGAGCAAAGGGAAGCAATTATGGTATCCATCCTCATCCCACCTTCAGGGGATAAAGCAGCCATTGTAGTACGGGATCAGGACTTCCTCAGTCCATGTGGTCCTCACTAGGAGTCACACAGGCCTGATGGGAGATAAGACACAGGCCTATTAGGAGAAATATAATACCTTGAAATGTTCTTTTTACTGTTTTGTATGTACTGCTTCTTTGTAGAAGTTAGAAAACCCATAACTGCACAAGCTTTCTTTCATCTGAGACTGATGATAAAAGGCTTTATGTGCACTGCTGCAAAGTAATCCCCTGATAACATAGTGTTATTTGACTGCAGCCAATAATAATAACAACCTGACAGTATCTATTTAAAATATGACAGTTAGTCTTTATCAGAAGAGTGAAATCACCTTTTTCTGTTTCTGCTGGCCACCCTTGATAATGTAAATGAGTATTTGTATTCATGCCACCCTTTTGTGTTCTCAAGTCCGATGTCCAGAGGAAAAACTAAATGTCGTATAGTCAACTTGTGAGTTTATAAATGTCAGAAAAAGCTTCCTACGGGTATTATATGGATGACATTTCCAATGCAATGAAAGCTCAACCCACTGCCCTTGTAAAAAAAAAGAACGCTTGGAAACACCAAGGATTTGAATGTCAGCACATATATATATATATATATAGATCTTTCCACCAAAAGTGTTTCAGAATGTGATTATTAAGAGCTCATGTAAGGGCACAATGAATGAGTTGATTTACTTTGGTTTATACGTGTACATGTAGGAAATAACACCAGTGTGGGGAAAGATTAGACATTTTATGACAAATGTATAAAACAAGGTTTAACTGTATATTTACATGTGATTCACCACTTTGTTTGACTCAAAGTAATTGATATTTTTTAGTTTTCTGTTAAAATATATTTTTAGGTCGTTGTACAGTATGTTTTGGATGTCTTATTAAAACTTTGGGAATATCATCTTAATCTGCAAATATGAGCTGGAAAATAAAGTAGGTTTATTTCATGCTGAGAATCTGTTTTTTTGCCAAGTAGGATTTGACATACAAGGGTTTTGTTGTGGTGTATAGCGGTGCATACATTAACACTGTCTTCTCTCTGCACTCACTAAACATGCTCCACAGAAGCATATCTCTGCCTCTGTTTTCCTCCCGCTCTGTCCAGACTAAAATATAATTTTTCTTCATTGCAGAGCAGTACTTTTCCAAAATGATCTCTAGAGTCTGTTAATATTGAATTCCGTCAAGTTCCGGGCAGTATTAATGGAGCTTTTTTAAAACTGATGTCCTGTAGGCTGGCCAGGTGATGGTTGAGGTGCTAGCTGCCAGTAAAGTAGGACACCGGTTAGTCACCTCTATTTCATCTCAATGTTGTGAATAAATGGGTGCTGCTGTTTGAATCACTTCCCAATGCCCCATGTTAAGAAATCATTTTCTGAGCTTAATGAACGGGCAATGTGTGAAAACACAGGTAAAGACACACTATTGTGTGCCCTAAATCATATTTCATATTCATAAAAAACACAGGACAGCTATTAAGATAAGAGAGATAAGAGTGTTGTGCCAGAGTAACAAAGACACAATAATAATAAAAGTAACAATTGTAAAACTCAAACTGTACACTAACAGTGCCGTACAAATATCAAATAAGAAACATAGATGGTCAAATGATGATTGTAAAAAACTGTACAGTGATGAGCAGTCACCTATATAGTGCAAAACATAGTGGCTGATCATTTGCAAGTTATTATTGCACATTATTATTAATATTGCACATGATTTAAGCAGAAAGTGTTTGGAATGATGATCGTAATTGTGGCCAGAATGTAACAAAGATGTGACACTCAGGTAAGAAATCTCCCGAAAAATAATTTAGCTTGAAGCAGTCTGTAAGGAAGGTAATTGAAGGAGAAAAAGAGGTGATACAAATCAATGTGACAATGAATGATTAGAAGACTCTGATCCTCTTTACGCACCGTTTGGAAATGAAGTGGAGATGAAGGGGTGGGGCACAACCTGAAGGTTTTTGGTTCGTCTGGACATTTCATCGAGGGGAGAAAAAAAGAAACGTTCTGGGTGGGGCTTGGTCCGAGGAAAGAGAGGGAATGGAGAGTGAAAACAGGGTGATGTGTGTACTGTGAATTCAAAACTGGGTGGGTCTACACTGTTTCACATTTCCCAAAAACTCCCAGCGCGTTAAAGTACTTACAGGTAACGTTCACAGCATTGTTTTTTACTTTGTTAAGTTATTGTTTGTGTACAAGACGCTGTAGAACGGTCTTACGTATGGTGTGTGTGTTTTAGTCGCTGTGTAGAAAAGTTAACTATAGATTTTCTTTGAAGAATGGTGCGGATGTGACTGAGCTCAAAAAAGTTTTGTAAAGAACAAGCAACTTCAACTCTGTAGATGAATGCAACGTATCAGTCAAAAGTGTTTATAAAGTGTGTAAAAGTTAGAGGTGTGTTTATTTTTGGTTTTCTGTCGTCGTATTCTCGCGCTCTTTTCAAAGTTGTTGACTTGGACCTGTGTGTGCGTGTGCGTGTGTGTGTGTGTGGCACCTATTTGGGAATGCCCTCAGTCTAAACAAATGCGCCTTTCTTATCGACGGAAACAGACTAAAGCAGTTAAGAAAGTCGTTAAACAAACGGATAAGTGTTTCTTTTGGGGGTTAAAAATGACAGGCAACATACATGCGCTGTTTTTCAAGAAATACATAAAATATGTGAAACTAGTGGTTGTAAAGTGTGTGGCAGCAGATGTGCGTTTTTCAAAAATGTGTCCTGGGGCGAGTTTGGGCTTGCATGCAGCGTCTCTCTCTGTCCGTTTTTTTTCGTTTTGTGACGTTACAGTTTTAATGTGACAGCTGTGAATGGTTGCTTCCTCACAAGCCTTTCTTATATAAGTCTGTGCTTGGAAAATACATAATGATGTGCATCCTTCCTTTTTTCCGATGTTATCAGTTTTCAGAAGGCCACGATGTTGATGCTAGCAGGAATCGTTCTTCTGCACATTACCACTATCATCCTGCTGCTGGTGGCCGCCATTGATAATGTAAGTGGATTAGTTTTATCTTTTGTTTTCTCATTTAACACACTCACAGTGCTCAGAGGAAGAACAGGAGGCTGATAATGGACTAATAAATTCCCACCAAATGGCTCTTTCCAGTGCTGGAATGTAACTGAGTACATTTACCCAAGTAGGCCTTCTGCAATTAAATACATTTCAAGGTAATTGTATTTTAAATATCCTTTGTATTTTATGCTACTTTATACCTCGATTTAACTACATTTAAGAGGAAAGTATTGTAGTTTGATATCTCCACTACATTACGTTATTCCTCCCATTCCTGTCCAGTGAAAACCACGTATCAGAGGTGTTGCTTTTGAGTGTTTTTTATAAACAGAAGGATTCTCCCAATTTCTCCTAAAAAAATTGTTTTTATCAAATTAAATTCTTAAAAAACCTTTGCATCAGCTGCAATTGCTCTGTTGTAAGTGATACAATCTTACAGGGTTACAAATATATGAAGATCTTGTAGAATATGAAGTGTTGCTGTAATTGAAACCGACCAAGAGGGTATAAATGAGTTTAAATGAGCAGAACTACAAACTTCTACAGCCATAAAATACAACATTAATGCAGCAGTGATATTAATCAAAAGACGGAAAAAGGAAATTGTACTTCTCATTGAGTCTTTAGTTTTTATACTTACTTTTACTTGAGTAAGATTTTAAAAGTAGGAATTTTAGTTTTTAGTAAATTATTTGTACAGTTTCACATTAGCGCTTGAGTAAAGGGCTTTAATACTTCTTCCACCACTGGCTCTTGCACAATTTTTCAAACTCCCAACATTATACAGTATATACATTTATGGAGGCAAAGGGCTGCACGTGTGTCATTAAACCACTTGGAAATACCCAGAAGTCAAATGTCAAAATATGTTTTTGGTATTTTGCCACACACAGTGTTGCAAAACATAGACAGACTTTCACCAGCCAACTCAATAAGAGCGGGAGGGGTCACTGAACAGGAAAATAATGAAATGACAAAATGCTCAAACAAAGTATTTCTTTACATACGTGGTGCAACCAGTGTATGTGTCTTCATATTATGTTATGTATTCATTCTTACCTTCCTGTGTCTTCAGGCCTGGTGGGTCACAAACACAGTGTCGGCTGACTTGTGGGGCAGGTGGGAGTTGGCAAACTCCGCATGGCATTACACCAACCTGAAAGACTATCCAGAGGGTAAAGTTCATATGTTGACTTGATCTGAAAGGAGATTCAATGTTTCAAGCTGTAGAAACAGAAAGAATGCTGATTAGAAAATGTGTATCTTCTACATCTACAGTATGTAAATATGTTTTCTTTAACTATTATATGAATGTTAATGAGCAGACCAGTTATAGTGCTGAATGATGCTACATTTACACTGTGCTAGCCTCTGTCTTGTTGTGAGTCCTTCACTGACTGTGTTTTGTCCTCCCGTTGTTGCAGAGTATCTCCAGGCGGTGCAGGCCACCACAGTGCTGGCCTGTATCTTTGCCATCCTGGCCTTGTTTGTGTTCGTAGCTCAGCTATTCACCCTGCCCAAAGGCCAGAGGTTTACCTTCTCTGGCATTTTACAGCTAATCTCCTGTAAGTAACCCCGAGTCAAAAGTCTAAACTGCAGCTGAATTTTTTTTTTATTTGCTTTTAGCTGAGATTTGTTTATTTCTATGGAGGATGTTTGCCAAATGCTTGACTTTTTAGACATGTATTTCTCTGACAATATCAATAACTTAATTTAATAGGAAATGACTGACCGTACAACATATTGAAATTCATTAACTTTCTCTTCAAGGACATTAAGAATATCAGCATGTATAGTGGTAAAACAGACATGGATGCAGATACAGATCCACATACAGAACATTGACTTGTTATCCGTAGAATCTCAGGCCTTAGTGGCATAGCTGCAACAATTAATCGTTTAAGTAATTTATCCTTCAAATATGGCATAAAATGCGATTTTACTTAAAATCTTTGGGTTTCAGACTCACAAAACCAAACATTTAAACACATAACCTTAGATTTTGAGAAACCTTGATTAGCATTTTTCACATTTTATTGTCCAAAATATAGATTTGGAAAATAATCAGCAGTCTAATCAATAAAGAAAAGAATGGTTGGTTGTAGCCAGAAATTTGATTGAAAGTCGGTGCGGTTGAGATTGTATTGTCATCATGTCTTGATTATTTTCTCAAACTTCAGCCTTCCGATCTTAAATATAAAACTGAGATGGTACTTTCAGGAAATTTGAAGGTGCCAGAAACCAAAATAATTTATTTTGAGATGCAGAGATTTGCACAACAAGTGAAAGTTCAAAAATCTGTAAATATATATTTTTTATAAAAGTAGTTGATAATGTCTGCATCTAACAAATTATTTATTGATATCTCACAAAAGAAAAAATATATATATTGTAAGGACTGGGACAAGAAAGGCTTTCCTCCTTACTGATTGTCGGCAACATTAAAGTATTTCAAACTGAATGGTGAGAAAAAAATCACATTCATACCACTGAATTATGGATATCACATTAAGATTTCATGCTGTGACTGTTTTCTGTAGAATTCAACATATGCATGGTTAAAAGAGCTTTGAACTACACTAATCTGTATGTCACAGTATAATAAAGTAAAAAGGGTTAATGATGGATTATATTTGACACTGCTGCTAGTACATAAAAATACTTGAAGTGTAAAAGTAATGGACTTTGAAAATGTTTTTAATGACTATCTTTGGGAAATTAGAAAAGTGAAACTGCCATGTTTCTCATTTAGTTGTAATTGCACTGAAACTGTCCTTCTTCATGAGTGTTATCTCATAATGGGAAAAATAATGACTTCTTAATAGCCTGTCGGGTGTTTGACAATACTCTCCTTCTCTCCTGCAGGCCTGTGTATAATGATAGCAGCCTCAATCTACACGGCCGAGCTTCACCCCAACGAGACGGAGGGGGGGTTCGGACACTCATACGTCCTGGCCTGGATCTCTTTTGTCCTCACTTTTATCTTAGCCATCACCTACCTCATCCTGCGGAAGAAGAGCGAGTAAGAGGATGAAAGGAAGGAGGGCAGGCCAGAGATCCTGTTCTCAGTTTGAGTTTGGGAAATGAAAGAAAATGATTTATTTAAAAAAATTGGAGGAAAAAACGTAAGATCTTTGATCTACATCTGCAGCTAAGAAAATAGGAGGGAAGGGGGGGTTTATGTCCAATTGCTTACAAGAGCCATTTGTTTAGATTTTTTTTTTAATGGAAATAGAAGTCATGCTTGCATTACATGAAGGGCTGAACTTGACGATATTACTTCACAGATTTCTATTTGATGAAAGGGCAATATTTCACTGAGTAGAGCAGTGCGACACAAGGGATGGTGCAACCTTTAAAAGTGCTTATTTCATAACAGTGTAACCATAACATAATTCATAAATCAATGTTCTTTTATAAAGTAGTTACATACACATTTGGAGAACTGTCCATGTTAGTAATGTAAAAGAGTAGTTTGAACTCTGGAGAAAGATGGTCTTTATGCAGAGAGGATGGATGCCATTCTGACTAAGATAAAGATTGGAAACAGTTAGCCAACTACCAAGTGTGAAATGTACAATTGTTGGTTTTAGGACTGATATCAACTTGACTGTTCGTTTGGTAAAGCGCTCATCAAAAAAACAAGAAGCTAGACAGCGTTAGAGGTGCTGATTTGTGGATTTGGTTACCGTTTGACTAGTTTCCATTTGCACACTTTTGCTAACATACAGTAATAAGACAGGTGTCAAATATTTTCATCCAACTCTCTGCAAGAGAGGAAGAGAATAGCTTAGCAGAGCACACACTATTTGTTAAAGAAAGCAAAGGACCTTTTAAGATTTAGCAGTAGAAAGTACTTATCATCCAGAGACTGAAAAGATCCTGTATCTGTGAAGGTATGGCAGGTGGGAGAAGCTACAGGATTCCTGTCTAACAATCAGGAAAGACGAGCCTTAATACACAGTACAAGTTTAATCATGTATCCTTATTTTACAACTGATGAAGTATAGTGTATCTTTTTGTTTTATGTACATTGTAACCATTATATTTTTGTAACATTTTGTATTGAGTGTTTTTGGTTGATTTCGTGTCTGTGGTTGGCTGCTATCATAAGAAAGGTACATGCAATTTGTACAAGTCAACAAGGGATGGAGGACAATGGTGTTTCATTTCACCATAATTCAAAACTATGCAATAGGTTTGTGTGTTTGTAATTACATTGGAATTTAAGCCATATCATTTATTAATAAAACAAATCATAACACAAAGCCTTCATGTTTCATTTTAACTGCTATTAATGCAACAAAGTCACTGTTACATAATAAATATGGATCAATTCAGTAGCCATAACACACAAGACACAATATTATATTAAAATTAATTTAAACTAACTGAAATTAGCATCCTAAATAAAAAACACTTCTTGAAAATGCTATTTGATTTTCACAGACTCCTTAATAAGGTCAAAAGTTTCGCATCGCAATCATTTCTGCAAGTTACAACATTGAGGTTTTGTAAGCAAATCTTCCTCAGGTCTTACAACAGACCCAGTCAGAAACAGGAATGTTCCGTTATATAAAGTATCGCTCCCAGAGGAAGTGAGTAAAACCTTGACTGCACTAAATGCCTTGGCCAGACGGCGTGATGCGCTCCTGAACCACCAGATGGAGAAGATGGTTCTGCTCAGCACTCAGAAAGGGCCTGAGGAGAAGAAAACACATAATGAATATGGAAAATTAAGATTGAGAAGCAATAAAAACGTTGCTCAATCCCCCGTCACATGATGGAACTTTTCTGAATGCTCACCATAGCTCAGTCTGAAGAGACTTGAGGGACTCTGTGTCTTTCTCCTGACACGCCATCTGCAAAACAGATTCACTGTTATGCACTGCACAAATAAAACCATAACTGCAAAATCAGATGACCTTGAAAATTCCCAGGATTTTGTCAAAACAAATTTTTAATATTTTTCAATACTGTGCATAGAGTCTGTTGTGAATAAACATCAATAGGAACCTTGGAAAATGATAATTTCATTGTCAGAGGAAGGCAAACTTGAGCACAATCCTCTCTGTCGTGACTGATTTTCCTGTATGAGGCAGGAAGGATCAGGAAATCCTGTGAACCGTCCCAAGAATGTGAATGATGAAACTCACCACCACAGACTGCAGGAGCAGGAAAACATTCTCAGGCAGGAAGGTCACTGGAGGAGAGGAAAAGAGCCACGTTTACACCACTTCAAATACATGGCACTCAATAAAAGACAATGGTTAGAAATCACACCCTGTTGCTCTAATATCTTGAATGAATAGTGCGCTGCATTCACCTTGGCTGTGAGGGTCGAAGGACTCCCACGCGTACCTCTCCAGGGTCTGGGCATGTTCTGGTAACAGCTTCTGAGGCGGAGGCTGAACAGGAAGACAGCAATGTTGGACCGTTAAAGTGTTTCTGCACCAGTAAATACAAATGCAACAAATAGCAATTTTCTAAAATTCAGATTTGCCGTTAGCACTATAATCGACAAACATTTTTATACCCAACATGTACATGTTTGGAAAATGTTAATGTGTTTGTACTGTATTTATAATAAAACATAGAAAGTTAGACAAACAAGTTCTCCTGAAAACCTTGATGTTAAGATGTTTCCTTCTCCACTAATTTTAGGCTTGCAGGTGTTACAAATTATAATATAATTATTGAAATATAAAAAAAATCAACAAGCTTACCTCAAGCAACATCAGCAGCAGTACTCTGGAGACCTCACATTTTGCCACAATGTCCAAAAAAGCACCTTTTTTCAAGGAAAATTAAGATACAGAAGAGAAATGTATTCATTTTCTTATCAGATCCAGCTTAATTAAAACGTTCTTAGCGCTACATTTGTTCTGATGACATTGAAGCCTACATTTAACCTGTGTCATTGGCAACCCATTTATTTACGATTATTTTATGCAGGTAGAGCCTAAGATTATTATTTTGTATATAAATTCAGAGCCTCACCAACGGGGGTGCTGATGCCTGGAAGCTGCAGTCCTCTCTCCTGGCACGTCAGCTGCATCTCTGTGAACACTGACAGAGCACCGTCGTAGTCACCTGCAAAACACAAGAGACATGAAGGCTCAAACAGCAGAAAATCAAGAAAAATCTCACATAAAACACACATCAACTACATATCAGAAGACAAACTGAACTCACGTGTTAGTATTTTACACGTAGCCATTTCTCCCATTGACAGCAGCGCTTCAATGGGCGTCTGTGTCTGCAGCTCTGCAGCCCTCTGGTAATGAACGATAGCCTCCCCGGGTCTGTTCATCTCCTGTTGAAACCACAGAGGGGGAGAGGTTAACAGGTCAGTTTAACAACAGTATATACAGTTACAATCAAAGCAAAGATAATTGATCGTTTTTACATCTCTGATCCAAAGTTTTACCTTCAGTGCGTTGCCCAGTTCTAGACTCAGGCTGGCTGCCATCACAGGCTGGTTCATCTCAATGTGCACCTGTAACCCATTCATACGTCAGCATTATCTTACAGTCTCTATGTATAGAAATGTGGAAACAATACAGGAATGTACTTTGTAATTTATTCTGCAAACCATGGATATGTAGTCCACGAGAATTGAATACAGTATATACAACTGTACTCTATGAATACCACATTATCCACATCAAATGTAAAACGAATTGAATTACTACTGTTCAAAGATTCTCTCCCCACCTCCCTCTTGTTGTTTTTTGAGTGTAAATATTTTGTAAACAAAATGCTAAATAAACAAAGCTGGAATCCAAAACTTTCTACAGATATTGCAATTTTGTTATCGTGAATTATTGCAATAATAAATGTGTTGTGACAAAATGATACCAAGGCAGCCTTACTTCAATCATTACAAAAATAGGAATCACCTTGATGGCAAAACTGTAGCAGTTGAGAGCAGCCTGGAGATGCTCGTCGAAGCCCGGGGCCTGCAGCGCCCGGTTCTCCTTCTCAGACGTGAGGAACAGGCGGGCAGCGTCGGTGAGGGCCAGCGCCTCTCCAGGAGCGTTAAAGAGAGTCTGCTCACACCTGCAGTGAGAAGTTCAGGATGGGTAACAACAACAGATGAACATGACACCCATATGTGACTGTTGAACATTCTATACCAAAGCCATGCACATTTAGAAGTCTACTCTTCTGGGCCAGCTTTACACAAAATATGGAGCTTGGCTTGAGGGATTTGATCCCTTGCTGCCACAGGAAAGATAATGTAAGCCACTGTTGGGTGATGCGATCTAGATTAGAGTCAACAGTGTCTCAAAGATGTTGGATGTTGTTGATGTCAGAGTGTGTTTAGGGGAGTAGACCTATTCAACACCAAACTGGGAAAACCCATGCTTTATGGGCCTTGCTTTGTGAAAGAGGTCCCATGCAGAAAATGGCCAAACTGTTGCTAATGTAAAGTAGGAACCAGGCCATTATGTAACATTATGTATGCTGTACCATAAACTTTTCTCTCAATAACAACTGGGTGGACAACACTAAAATCATCTGCAATACACAATGAACACATACGTTGGGCTTTAGAATGTATCTTTTATTCTGTTAACACTGACCTGGTTTAGGTCAATATGGTGCAACATTTATGAGTTTACACTTGTCCACTCACCGAGCCATGGCCAGGTTACAGAAAGCCGCATACTGAAGGCAGTCCTGCTGCTTCAGCTCCTTTGCTAACTGACCTGAACACAAGTGAAAACAGGGAAATGCAAATTGAGAAGAAACTGATGATATATATTATAGATGATATGAAGGAGAATAAGGAGAAGGCCGGTGTTGGTGTCACGTCGTGCGTAATGAACGCATACTGTAATGTTGACACCATAGGTTGACACACAGCGTAAAGGTAGCGTGGGGTTGTTCAGAGATACTGTCACTTACCAAACTGCTCACTCGCCTCCGCTACATTGGGTTTCCGGAGAAAACGTCTGCGACAAGGAAACAACAGCCTTTCAATTTTCTAAAATATTACACTAAGCAAGCTCTACCAAATAGACTTAATCTAATATTTGAGGTGCTTAACATTTGAATGAATGATGATAGTAGGGTTAGCTAGCACGGATGTAACTATTAGCTGTCGAATAACGCCATAATTCATCAGTTACTATTATTCATGAACTAAGCACTTAACACATATTGACATGATATCTGCATTAAAACTACAATCATGCACACAAAGGTATGTTAAATAGCGTCATGTGACGTTAGCCTAACATAGCTTTTAAGCGCGAGCTGTTTAATCTGCAGCATTATTGTCTCGTAACGTTAGGCTATTCCTAATATTCTGTCATCTATCCATATGAAATGATGAAACTCAAAGCCTTACTTCTTTAGTTTATTTGACACAGCACGGTATCTCGCCAGAAAATCGCCCTCTGCAGCCATGATTAACCCAGAAAAACACAACAAACCGAACCAGGAAGTGCAGCTGAATGGAGCGTTGCCACTGGCTCGTAGAATCGACACCTAACAATGTGATTGGTCCGCATAGCCCATATCAAAGAATGAAATGCCACAATTTTAATCAGAAAACTTTATTCCAGCCTCAGTTTACAGATAAAATACAATACACTACTTGGAATAAAATACATACAAAGCATGTTTAAAAAGAAATTGCATGGATTAAAAAGAAATAACTTAACTCTACCTAATATACTTATCCTTATGAACAGTATATAATCATTATAAACCCAAAATGATTTGAGTCATTAATCTTGAAAATACATTCATAAATTAGACTTCTGAAAACACGTAGCTTGTAGATTACTCCTCATTCAGCCACAACACATTTAAATAAGAAGATACATTGCAAGAATCAGACTCTGTAGTACACGTCTGTAGTACATTTCTGCAGTGAGACATTTATGCTATTTTTTTAATTGTGCTCCAGTGCATTTGAAAGAGAAACATATTATAACATGATAATTTAATTTCAAACATTTGCACTCACTCTGGCCCTGATGGTCAAACACAAAGCAACAATTCACATTTATGATTCAAAAATTCTCATAGACACACTCAAATGTGCCTTCATTCTGGTCTTGTGGGGTTTGTGGCATCTGTGGAGAAAGTACAAGACATGTGATCAACTACAACAAAAGCTTGGTTATCTTTTATAACAGCAAAAGTGGCGAAGCACCTGCAGTCCACACTGACCTTTTCTTGCGGTTCCTTTTTCTTGGGTTTAGCTTTTCTTTGGTTTGGCTCTTTCTTAGCAGCTGAGTGGTCCAGCACATCATAAATGGACCTGGGTCGAGTCTCTAGACTCTGAAAGAAGTTTTGTAATACATTGTCAAAAAATTAGAAAAAATTAACATGAATGCAGTGAAGATGGTCGACAGAAAAGTATTGTGTTATAGTTGAATTCAAATGAAAAGCGTCTGTCTCTATTCTCTTGAGAAACAACGTTCTTACTGCATAGAAAGACGTAGAAGGAGCTGTTATTGCATCCATGTTGTCTTCCTCCACCTCTCTCTGCTGCATTTCTTCTCTGTTCTGCTTTCGTTTTCTGCCGCTGTCGCCACGTTCTTTCTACAAAAAGGTAATTTTATGCATCAAGAGAAAAATGAATATCAAAACTGGATTACATGCAAATTAGACTAAAGCACATGATTCAGTTTTTGTTATGGCAGTTACCTCTTTAGGTTTGTGTTATGTGAATGGAGTAAATTCAATGCTTGAATATAATAATTTGCACAAAATAATCTGGTTTTATAGGACAGACCTGCCTTTGGACTTGAGCTATGAAAATACCAGTCACAGGATGAGGTAACAATGAGGTTTTTATAAAGGACTCAACTTCATCTGGAGCTTTAAAAACTAAACGACAAAACTGCCTGTCACACACAGCAATATTCTCACATTGCTACACGTTGTTTCTTACCCCATGTCCTCTGAAGACATACACTGAGCCGACCACACTGAAAACCAGCAGCACACCCGTGAAGACGGCGACCACGATGATCCCTGGGTTATCCATATAGACCTGCTGCCTGTAGCCCTCATCTGGAAAAACACCATTTAACATTTGATGTCAGTATGTGAAGCAATGTTTCATTAATTGGCTGATTTGGGCTTTTTTGTATGTAAACTGAAAACTTTAATTCAGCATCAGTACTAGTCCGCTTGTGGCTTAGCACTTTCCAACCTGAAGGGTCCCAACACAAATGTCAATGGTCACTTAAGGCAGTGGTTCTCAACCTGGGGGGCGCGGCCCCCTTGGTGGGGCGCCAAAGATCGCAGGGGGGGCACCAGGCCTCAGATGATTTGAGGCCAAATATCATATTTTTACTTTTTTTTTTATGTACCTTTTTTTTTACACATAATTGTAAGGCAACACATGATTGTCACTAAAAGCCTTGTTGTTACATTAAAATAAAAATATAAACAATAATTGATTAATTAATTTGAATAAAAATGTGTTAGAAGCTAATAAAGGCATAACAAGACAGACATTTATAATTTTTTCTTTAATAGAAATGTTTCTTCTGCCCGTAAAGTGTCCAAACCATGCCGGTTTCAGTTGGATTATTTGTCACAGTTGCTCCGATCAGATCGGTCTCCTCCATTTTGTAGATTATTTACGACTTTTGAATCCACATAAACACATCGGCAAAATCTGGCTTACTTTGAGCATGTGTTTTAAACAGTTTAATCCCTTTGTGAATTGTTTCCACTTGTGCCGTCCTTTAATTTCTTCATACTGCGGGAATTCAAATGAATTAATCCTGAGTCTAATACCCATCAAAGTCACTCCAATAGTGCTCCTTAATTACGCTTTCGTCCTCCTTTAACGAAATACTTCACATTCATCCAGTGACAGTAGTTGTAGCATTTTTTAGACTTTTAAACTTTAATTACCGCTTTTGCACCCCACCCCTTGTGTGTGTGTGTGTGTGTGTGTGGGGGGGGGGGCGCAACTTCCTCATTTGGGGGGGCTCTCGGGAAAAAAGGTTGGGAACCCCTGTCTTAAGGAATAACATAAACATTTATTCTGTCCCACAAAAAAAAATCTGTTCATTTAGAAAATATGAAATTGAGTTTTTCTTGTAAAATATACAAAAAAGGTTTTGAGGGGCTCTAAATATCCACATCAAAACGCATGTCCACTCAATGGAAAAAAAAAGAATCCAACAATATTACATTTGTTGGAAGCTAGCTGGAGCAAACATTGTGAAAAGAAAAGTTCTCTAGCAAAGCCAAGCAGAACTCTGTTTATGCCTCAATCTGTTGACACTGGCATGTATCCATCTGATAAAGACTGCACTTCCTGTCCCACTACTACATCACCTTTTCTTCACTACACATTTATGCTCATTTAATCTAAATCACTGTTTTCATCTGGTCAGTCTTGAAATTGATAGTCATTTTGAATCCTATGCTATCTTAGTGCTTTGAAACTGAAAATGAAGAGGATCATTATGAAATCTGGTATTAACGCAAATCTTAACTCCAATAAAAAAATCTATATAAATTACATTTTTCATTCACATTCTCTTCTTTTAGTACTCACCGCTCAGACGAAGAAACCAAATCACTTTGGCTGTTTTATATTGGCAGCTGTATTCTCCTGAAATGCTCAGGGTTTCCAGCTTCACTTCTTTGCTGATCTTCTGTGCCAGGCTATTCTCAGGGATTTCAGAATCATATATCTCGTTTTGGAGCGGGTTGGAGCATGTGAGGGAGTCACGGCTTTGGTTTACTGGCATCGTCAACCAACAGATAATGCGGAGATCTTCGCCTTTTATTCCCACAAACACTGAGCGGTCCATGCTGAGTTCTGTCAGGAGACATGACATAGAGTACAAAGAGGAAATGTAATAGTTTAATCAGGTAGTGGTTGAACAAAATATCTATTATTAAACAAAAGCACCAACATGCTTTGGTTTGAGTTTCATAAATGTGATGATTTTCAGTTTTTATCTCTTTTGTTTCATTAGAGACTAAGTCTTTTGTCGTCTTGGCTGGACAAAATAAGTAATCTGAACACTTCACCCTGTTTTTTTTTATAAACAATTACACATTTATAGATGAAACGATAACAATAAAAACTAAACATAAGATTGATAATAAGAATAATCATTACTTTTTACTTGATTTGAAGCTTAAGAAACACATATCTTAACTTATTTGGCAGCAAACAATAAAATAGATGTGTTAGTAATTTACAAAGGTTCAATTTCAGTCAGAGAACAGTTTGAATGGCTTACCTGGTGTGCCCATTCCTGTGCATTCAGAAAGGAACGAACAGACAAATATCCAGGTCCACAAGAAAGAAAGATGCCAAACTTGTTGAGCTCCCATGTTCTTATCTTTGGGTTTTTGTAGAGATGTTTATAGTCTTCTATGTTGAGGTTGTTCCAAAAAACTATTGAGTGTTTCAGTTTGTCCAAACTGCAGCGTTGGGTTTCCTGTTTCTGGCAAAACCACTTCCTCAATTTGTTCAGTTTTTTCTGTTATCATTGCTGACACAACAAAGCCCAAATTAAAAGAGCATTAACAACTCTGTTTTATACAAGAGACATTTAACATTAAAGCTTGAAATCAATTCACAGCATAATGTTACATCCACATCATTATACAATATAATATTACGACTTGCTTTGTATTGTGTTGAATGGGATTATTTCTTGTTGCAGTTCTTCTGTGACATCAGCTCCTGGAAAAGCGAAGTGCAATGTTGGCCTTCCACCACAATGAGACAGTGTTGTTTGGGAAATAAAAGTGAGCCATGAGCCCACACCATTATCATGTGTGTGTGTGTGTGTGTGTGTGTGTGTGTGTGTGTGTGTGTGTGTGTGTGTGTGTGTGTGTGTGTGTGTGTGTGTGTGTGTGTGTTAGGGTTTAGTTATCTACTATAAGTAGTTTGTTTGAATGTAATAATTATGTTGTTTGTTGGAATAATTTATTGAAACATTAATCTGAATTTTTCAATCTGTTACGATTATAAACTGAAGCAATATAAAAATGACTCCCATTAACTGAGTTTTAAACATCATTATATCCGGTCATAGTCCGGTAATTACCTGCTAACGGAAACT